AGAAAACTGCCCACCCGATCAAGACTCAGACTCGGGTGAGTGACAGGGTCACGATGGATTCACTTAACTTGGCTCGGAGGACTTTTTCAAGAATATGTTCTCCCGTTGGCATGGCCGAGGCCATAAAAGGAAAGAATTGATTGCGTTGCTCACTCGGAGGACTAGAGCTCTTGTTCACCCAGGTGAAAGGAGAAATGACTCACATGATCAACTTTGAAGCATAGCCCGGGCATGCTCTATCAAAACCCACCCGGGTGGCTTATTTTCTACTCAGGTAGAAAGAATAGTGAGATGCATTAGACCGGGTAGATACAGCTCGGCCGTGACCAAAGAGATTGAGAGTTCGAACGACCGGGTCAAAATCCTGCACCTGGTTGCTCAAGATCCCATACAGGCTTGGTACTGACCGGTCCCAAATCCAAAGATCCCAATGTCACCAATCAGTTGCTGGGACACTTGGAAGAACCGGATGCCGACCTCCCGGTCAGAAAGTGCCTGGACAGCGAACTTCTATGGATTCTACGCAGCCCAAGTAGTGGCGTGAATAGCCCGGTCGGAGCGCTCCCTCTCCAGGTCAGCCTTTAGCTGGGCATTCTCCACCTCTAGCTGACCCGTGTGCCCGGCCTTCATCCGGAGCTTCTCATCTGTCAAGCACCTGACTAGCCGGGTGACCCACTCCTGCCCGATCTAGGAAGAGGAAACGACGCAATGACTAGGCGGCGGCGTACCAAATTTCCAGAAAAACTTTCGCGCCAACCATACCCGAGAATTCAAAAATTCAAAATTATTCAGACACTTGATTCCCGCCCTTGATGGTGCCCACAAAGACGAGAATCGGAGGACTCCTTGATGGATATAATCCACTAGCACCGACCCCGGTATACTGACCGGGTGGATGTGCAGGTCAGACATGTGAGATCGTGACTTCATTCGCAGAGAAGGCTTGAAGACTGCCCGGGGTGGATGGCTGGAAGACCACCCGGGGTGGATGGCTGGAAGACTACCCGGGTGGATGACCTGAAGCCTGCCCGGGGTGGATGACCTGAAGCCTACCCGGGTGGATGACCTGAAGCCTGCCCGGGGTGGATGACCTGAAGCCTACCCGGGTGGATGACTTGAAGACTGACCGGCCGGAAGAACAGTAACGTCGGGACGTGCTTGACATGCTTGTTTTTATTATAAATACCCCTAAAAGCCTCATTTGTGGGGCAGGTTTTTATTAACCTACACGGCTTGTACTTTGTAAGAGTCCTAATATTATCAATAACAAACCGGGTTACAGGTGTTTCCACCTACAACCCTTCCGATCACTTTTACTTAGTATTCGCGTGGTAATTTACACCATCAGTAGGTAATTGAAGGTAGGTAATTGAAAGTAGGTAAAGTAAGGTAATGTGTTAAAAAATTGTGTTTGGATGTTTATTAGGTAATGTGAGGTAAGGAAAAAATAAAATTACTAAAATATCCTTGTGATATTTTCTTCATATCTGTAGAAGTTGAGAAAAAAATAGGTTATGTTAAAGAAGAAGTTTATCACTTTTTTTCAAAAAGAAGAAGTTTATTTTTTTCAAGGACAAAAATTGAAAGTATGCTGTCTCATTTTATCACTTTGCCACAATTTCTCATTCTCTTATCTCAAAAAAATAAAAACTGAAAAAAAAATGAACCAAAACTGGAAACTGAAAAAAAAATGAACCAAAATTGAAAATTGAATGGCGGCATGGGAGAGCAGAAGAACAAAGTTGAAATTTAAACGAAAAAAAAAACAAAAACTGAAAAAAAAAAGCTTAAAACTGAAAAAAGAATGAAAACTGAAAATTGATGGAAGCAAATTGATGAAAACTGAAAATTGATGAAAACTGAAATTGAAAATCTTCTTCTCTTCGGGAGAACTTCCGGAAAAAATTAATGGAAGCAACTAAAGATCCCAAATTGAAACCCTCCAATTTCCCAAATCACAGCAGAGAATCAGATCTACGGATTGTGCACGAAAAAATAGAAAAAAAAAGTGATCGAAATTGAAAAACAATTGAACGAAGCTGAAAAAATTGAAGTGAAAAAAAGTGCCCAAAATACCTGTTGGAGATGGAGATGGAAAGACGGCTATGGGAAGTGACGATGCTGGAAGGAGATGGAGATGTTGGGATTCTGCGATCGGGGAAGTGAGGAGGGTAGCAGCGGAAATGGTAGATATTACCTAGATATTTCGCCAAATTGGCGGTAGCAAAAATAACACTGTTCAGAGGTACCTACCTCCACCTACCTTCCTTTACCTATTTTATTTTTTATTACCAAACAAGGTAGAATATTAAATCTACCTTGTTCCTCCAAACAAACAAAGTGTTAACTTTTGGCGGTCCTATAGAAGTATAGAACCCCTTTTTGTTCGGTCTCATTATCTTTATCAAAAGATTCGCTTGACTCATATTCTTTGGTGGTCTGATGCCTCTATGGAGAAATTGAAGATCATATCTTGTGGCAGTTGCTGAATTTGATTCCTGCCAGAGAAAGGCAACCGTCAATTTGGTGACTTTGATCGCCGGATGTCTAGCTGACTCCCGGACTCCAAACCCTAACGGTCAGAATAATTGATCAGATTTTCTTTAATTCATTCAATTACCACCGGGTATGTTGAGATTGATGCAAGTTGGATCAAGTTGAGTTATTCTTTTACGTTCTTGAAATCGGTTGTGGATTCTTCTAGTTGTTCTAGATATTGCGTCTTAGCCTGAAATGGATCACAAATTCCTCTTCAATTCCCAGGCGACTGGTGGGCAAGCGCCATTTTGCTCAGCTCCCCGGCTGACGAAACCTCGCCTGGCTAAGAAGAAATATACGGCAGCCAATCGTCCCATTTGTGTTGAGAATGACCCGAGTTACAACCCATTTCGCTCACAGCCTATGCGAGATTCATCTAGTGTGGTAAATGATGGACATTTGGGTAGCAATAATACTTCCATTTCTGGGAATGTGGGGGTTGCAATTGGAACTTCAAAAGCCGAAATTTATGGGAAAGCATTTAGCTCTACATTTACTAGTGATCCATTTTGTACAGCGGGACATGCAAATTTTTGTGGAATCGTAGGGGATAAAGCTCTTGTTGGCGACATGAGGAAGTTGAAGATTGATAGCGATCAACATCATATTAATGTGAGTACGAATATGAATGCTAGTGAAACTAGAAAATCTGATTTGAGGGGGACTGATCAAGTACTGGCTTCTATGTTAACAGAGGAGGTTGAAAGTAAACTGAAAATTGAAAGTGAGGGGATTGCTGAGAGCGCACAGAAGGGAGACAGCCTGAAGTTTAAATCAAGTGGAAGTACCAAGTTACATGATAGCTTTGTAATTGGTGAGAATGTTGGTGGTTGTGCTGGAAGAATGAATGTTTTGAATGAAATGAACAAATTGAATATCAAAGACGAGGCCACTGATAAGCTGAAGAACCCTGCACACGGGAGAGTAGAGTTTTTGGGGAGAACCTCTGGTGAAAGCCATCCTGATTTGCAGAAGACAATACATTTAAAAGAGACTATGAACCCACACCTTGGCACGGGAAACATCAACTTTAGTTTTCATTCAAATGGCATCTATAATCCAAAATGCAGAGGCCCTTCAGATGGAGTGCACACAGCACTGCCGGCCACAAAAACTGCAAATGAGATGAAGACGGAATTTTCCTGTGGCAAGAGTTCTATTTATTCTGGTGCAGTTCCTTCAGAAATCACTTTTCAGGCAGAAAGGCGTGAGGTGTCCACTAACAGGCAGGTTCATGTTGGTGACGAAAGTAGTACTACGACATCATGTTCCTCCAACAATGTCCAGTGTGCATCAGGTGGTCTTGAAGCACCCGTAATATATATGCCTGGAAAGAAGGTCGAGTTTAGTTTCAGTGACATGATGCAACATGTAGACTTTAACACGCCAAATTTAAAAGGTAGCTTGAATAGGAAATTTGAAACAAAAAGGGATCTAACTAAAGATACCAAGTTGAAGAAAAAGAAAGGGAAACATAGAAAGCCGGTTTCAACTTCAATGCATGTTGGACAAGGTTATTCTCCTGTGGAAAGTTTGCAAGAAAATGCAGACTCCTCTGGATCATGTTCGCCAATGGATATTTCTCCATATCAAGAAACAAACGCTGATAACTCATTTTCAAGGGAAACTTCTGTGACTTCTGATGAAGCCTCAAGTGCAAATGATAAGTACGCATCAAGTGAGTCGCACCCAATGGTTGTAAATGATATAGCAGATGATCATCTTATTGATGCAACCCAACGTTTGAGTATTAATGAAAAAAATGTAAAATTTGATGAGAAGGAAGAAGTAGAATCCATGCATTTCCATCCAGTCGTTAGTGCTGAGAGGCCTTCCGAAGGTTCGTTTTCAGGAGCTGAGACCGAAAGCTTTAAATCTGCTACTGATCAGTTAGATTGTAGCAGTGATTCATTTTTTACTGCAGTAGATAATGAAGTAAGTTCTAGTTCAACCATTGAGAGACAAGATATTATTGGGGGAACTCAAACAAATTTAGAAGACACATTCCAGTCTAGCTTCACATTTGCCGCCTCTTCTACTGCTCAATGTCACTCTCCGCCAGTAACACGAAATCAGAAGAAGAAAGTCCAATCCAGACGTGGAACTGATTTAAGTAGTTCTTTATCGGGTGCAAAAGTTTCAATTTCATCCTTTACTTTGAATCATTTTCAAGTTCCTGGGACATCCTCATCCTTTAATAAAGCTAAAAACTTTGATTTGCCTTCTGATTCAAACCACGTTTCAAATCAATGTCATGGTAAAAGTGAACCAGTTAAGAAAAGTGAGGTTAAGCAAGAAACTAGGTTCCCTACTGTTGAGAGCATGGCTGCTCAGGAAGCTTGTGAAAACTGGAGAGTAAGGTATGCTTTTTAGTTTTTTTAACCTTGATAAATATTTTCCTGGATCATGGAAGCATATATTTACCTTGATTTTGTTTTTGCTTTGTACTATCTTTAATTGACTATTTGGTGATGCTGTTTTTTTTCTTTTTTTAAATGATATTTTAGCTTGTTTTTCCTTTTCACTATGCACTTGGTAGTAGAGCTAAAAGACTCATCTATTACAATGCCTTACAACAAGACCAGCAAACCCAGTGTAATCTCAACCCCGTCGGGGTGTTTGGGAATCAAGATGTATGCAACATTACATCGAAATTCCATTAGACCCTTGATGCATTGCTGCATTTACATCCCAAAAATTCATGCAATTTTGATTTAGTCTATTACTTACCTGAAGCTAGAACATTTTTTAAATGACTCATTTAGCTCTATTGGCAAGAGATAATTGACCATGTTGTAGCTTCAGGTAAATAGAAGACTAAATCTAAATGACACATTACACTTTTCTTGCTTCTTACCTTCGAAGTTTTCAGCCCTCAATGCAGCAATGTATCAAGGGTCTAACGGAAACAATCTTTATGTTTCGTGTATAGGTTTAATGTTTTGTACTTCTTGACCCCTAGATCCCAACAAAGATGGGACTTGGGAGTATACTGGTTTTGTTGTGTGTGTGTGTGTCTATATATATTCTTCCCCCGTCCCAAAATAAACTTCTCACTTTCTTCTTCTGGTTGTCCCAAAATAAACTTCTCATTCTTTTAAAGAATGGATTGGGTGGTCTACACTAATTCACTCTCTTTTCTGTAAATCTCAACTAGACAATTTCACTTTTCCTTAAATTCCTTGAAAAAAATGGGAATTTTAATCTAGGACGGAGGGAGTATGACAATGTGTGTGTGACTTTGTGTGTGTGCACGTGTGCGTGTTTCCTCTGTTCTTAAATACATGCAATATCAAAATTTTCACGTTTGCCAATGCATAAAGCAAATCATTAATATCTTGAATTATGTTTTAGTAGATAGTATAAAAAGTTTATACTAGTAATGGTATTATGTAAATTTATATTGAGACGAATTTGAGTTGGGGGTGTCTTGGAAGCAGCTTCTCTAATTTCGAGCATGGTTTTCAAACCGACAAGTCGAGTCAATGAAGATGAGACTAGTGGACTAGTCGGCCTACTAGTCGTAGACTAGTCGACAAATCACATTTAGTATTGAAATTTTTAACATCATAAATATCTTCATTGACCAAAGATAACTATATATGTTTATATGACAAAATATCATTACCAAAACAAAATCATGTTTAAGGGTAGCACATAAAGTCATAATGAAGGGTACATAGGAAAGAAATACCCTTCAATCTTCAAAAACAACACACCAAGTACCAACAAAGATAGGAACCACAAAAAGAAGTTAAAGATAAAGAGAGCTTACCCATGGAGGATGATGGAGAAGAATCGATGAAGATGAAGAAGAATCGATCCCAGAAGAATCAATCCTGGAAGATAGGCTTTGGCAAGAGAGAGAGAGAGAGAGAGAAGTCATGAAGGACAGTCGTGATGTGCTGAGTGAATAAGGGAGGTGATACTTTTACAGAGTATTTTTAAAATTTAATGAGATTTGGGTTGGGCCAGGTCGGGTTGGGCCAAATTGGGTAAGGTTTTCATCAGCGACTAGTCCTCTCTTTTACACGACCGGACGACTAGTCCACCCAAGTCGCTAGGCACCAACCAAGCCGTCACCACCAAAACGACCGGACGACTAGTCAACAACTTGACAACAATGCTTCGAGTAGGGGTAAGGTCTGTGTGCACACACTCTCCCCAGAGCCTACTCTTGTGGGATTTTACTAGGTTGTTGTTATTATATATCGAGGCAAATCTAAGAAGACCCGTATGGCTACACTTTGTTTTATTTACAAATCACAAAAGATATTCAACATCTAAACTGTCCTCCGTTGCATCTATAAGAATGAAGGAAGTATTTACTTTTTCAGACAGTTGATTCTTGGTTTTATAATTTTCACTTATAACAGGGGTAATCAAGCCTATGCAAGTGGGGATTTGTCTAGAGCAGAAGACTATTACACGCAGGGGATCAATTGCATATCTCAGAGTGAGATGTCTAGAAGCGTTCATCAAGCTTTAATGTTGTGCTACAGCAACCGTGCTGCAACAAGGATGTCTCTAGGAAGAATGAAGGAGGCACTAGTGGATTGTTTGATAGCCATCAAGATGGATCCAAACTTTTTCAGGGCCCAAATTCGAGCTGCTAAGTAAGAACCGTCTTATGTTAGCATAATAGCATGTTATTACTATATGTTACTCCGTATGTGATAATATATTACTGCTTTCTTTCTTTTCTCATTCCTACGTGTTTCGTTATTTTCTATAATTTTCTATTCATTTGCCAATTCTATATCCTCAAGAGTTGGGGTTAGCTGGACATATCATGCCTAATAGAACTGCAGGCTAATGGTTCATATAAGCTTTTACCCAAGTATCAAATATAATTGGTAAGTGGAGGCACAATGAAATATTCCTTTGCTACAAATGAGTGGCTAGGCCCTTATGTAAGAGCTTAAAACATCTGCAACAAGTATTTGGTAACATTCTAATGTGTTCTGTAACACTCCAAATCAGAAAACATAATTGAACATAGAGTGCTTCATCAATTTTCTTCATAGTCAAAATAACTACCTATCTCAAAATTAAAGAACTGGTGTAATTTGCAAATTCAATCTGATGTGGTTGTTAGAAAGGGAAAGTTATATCTAATCAAACCTCTCTATAATAGCCTTACATGCCAAAAACTTTTTTGGATGTAATATTGGATGACTATTATACACCAACTACTTGCCATTATAAATAAAAATGGACGATATCTCTTTTTTTCACTTTTTATATTTTCGATATACTGCCTCCGTCTCATAAAAATCCCGTGTTTTTTTCGTGGAGTTTAAGAAAAATGTTGAAAAAGTGTGGTTAGATTTTGTTTAGAAGAGAATTTTTTTCAACCACACATTTTTTTTTGTTAATAAGAAAGTGATATTTTTTTGGGACATACGTAAATGGAAAGGGTTAAGATTTTTGCGGGATGGTAGACTATTTTCTTAATTTAATGGGGAAAGTTTTACATTCTAGCTTGTTTTCTAAATTCTTACTGCTTAGCAATGATAGGATGTTTGATCTCACAATTCATATTTTGTGTAATTAGTAATATGGAGTACTAAAGAGGCAACTCATATTTTGGGCCTTAAGGAGTAAAAGCATCCTCCTTCTGTCCCATGGTTTTTGTCCCATTTTGCCTTTTTTGTCCATCTGACTATTTTTGTCCCATTACATATTTAGTCATATTTGTGTAGTTCACAATCACTCTTACTTTATCTTACTTTTTAACATCTATATCAACCACACAAATTTAGTTTTCTTAATTTCCGTGCCACCCTCCTGTGTCCCGAAAATAGTGGGATGGAGGGAGTAGTATTAAAGAAGATTCTTTGTTTAAAAAAAAAGAGGAGTCATATGACATATGTGTTGAGTATGGTTACTACGGTATAAGGTTAAGTTTACAAAAACGGTAGTGATCCAATTATGGTAGTTGACATGTTATATTAGACAAAAGCTGTTATAGTCATAAAAATGCACACATAAAAAATCCGTTCTAAAAGGAACATGGTTGTTTTATTGAATTGCTGGTATAGAGGATGACTATTATAGAGAGGCTTGAGTGTAAATGTGTGTATGCATGCACACATGATAATAAAAATATTATATTCATTCATGAAGTATAATATCTTTAAGACTCTTTTTTTGATAATCACAAAGTATAGTGGGTTGAATGTGTCTTTTTGACCTAAGGACCATGAGCTCAAGTCAGTGATATGTTTTTTGATTATTTGCGTTGAACAACAACCCAGCTGAATCCCACAACAGTAGGGTCTGGGGAGGGTGTGTGTACGCAGACCTTGCCCCTACTCGGAAGTAGGGAGGCTGTTTCCAAGAGACCCCCGGCTCCACCTGCACAAAAATATGGAAGAGAACACAGTATAGCACAGATAAGGCACCAAGTACAAGCAACAAGTACAAACAATAGCAAAAGATTCCCAACAAATACAACACACTATAAAACACCCTCTACAACACCGAGCTCCTATCCAGCTACTCTAATCCTAGTTCTCCAAAGGTTCCTATCTAGGGCCATATCCTCAGTCAGGTCGAGAAGTCCTAAATCCTGCCTTATCACCTCCTCCCAATTCTTCTTAGGTCTACCCCTTCCCCTACTTCCCCCGATAACTGTAATCCTCTCGCATCTCCGTACAGGAGCGTCAGCATCCCGCCGTCTCACATGGCCAAGCCACCTCAACCTCGCTTCCCGCAACTTGTCTTCCACCGGTGCCATACCTACTTGACGTCGGATAACCTCATTCGAAATCCTATCCAACCTTGTCTTCCCGCACATACCTACTAGGTTATAATTCTGAGTGAAGAACAATGAATGCAGAAGTACTTCCACTTAATGTTTTATTTAAAGCATGCTTTTTAGGCACTCCTTAACAATAAAATAAAGCAAACCAATCTAGGACTCCCAATTTGGGATTTTTTTGCAGCAAGGGGTTCCACGTGATGTGTGAACTTACAAGCTTATTACTCATATATTAACATTGTTTAAAAAGAGGTTTAACAGCAACCCTCACGGGCAGGAGAAGGTAAATGAAGCTATAATTTTTATATGAAAGGGGGCCTGTTCCTGGTACATGCAAGAACCCCATGCAGAACATGGTTATTCTTTATCGTTGTTATGAGTCCAATCCGGATTTACCCCCTTTGGCACTCACCTCTCAACCCCCTGAGCTGCGCCACCAGGGCATATATTAACATGTTATTTTGTCAATTGGGCTTGTTTGGTTAGGTTCGGTTTATTGTTTTTTTTTTTTTGAATTGCTCTATTGATGTTGTGTGAGTCATAGATACATCATCACCAGCATCACCATTATCCCAATTAGTTGGGTAGTTGACATGGCATTCTAGAGCAATCATCACCATATGATACTTCTACTTGCATGCAAAATATCATGAAATGGAGATGATGATGGGTTGTTTTTTATCATGATCATTATAAGATTGATTTTGTAAAATTAAAATGACCACCAGTCTTAGGTACTTGATTTCAATAAATATTTACCCTGACAACTATTGAGCACATACAAGCTATCCTCTATTTGTCCACTGTACCTTATGCGGAGTATTATTTCTTCCAATGTTGACAGTGGCATTACATCTGAGTCTAAAGATGGCATATTTGTGTATGCCATATTACACAGTAAATGCTATGAAAACCTTGTTCCTAACTCTTTTTTGGTTTACTGTTTTATTTTCTTTTAATAATTGTAGTTGTTACCTATCTCTGGGGGAAACTGAAAGTGCGTCTCAACATTTTATGAGGTGCTTGGAGATTGGTAGTAAGTCCTGTGTGGAAAGTAAGGTACTGGCCGAAGCCTCCGAGGGCCTAAAAAAGGCACAGGTAGTTGATACTTTAACTGCTATTAGAGTACTTTTCACTGCTACTGCTGGCAACCAATTTCTCAGCACCTGAACATGGCATTTTAGTTCAGTCATCTAGACATTACGGAGTATTCCTTTTCTTTGGTTTTCATTTTTTGGTTTTTTAGGAATTTGATCACTTTTCTAGAGCTATATGTGGAGAGGTTTTTTTTTGAGATGGTGCAAGAATCAAGATATATTAGCTCATATCACATGATTTTTTTGTAGATCCCTTCTCATAACGTGAAAGTCGATTTTCTTGGGGGTTCCTCTTTGGGTTTACTCTACCTTCTAGAAAATGATTCCAGTGGCACCATTAGGGTCATGTGGAATTTCATATCTCATTCATACTTTTCCAGTTTTAATTGATTCTTGATTTTATAACTTTCAGATGTGGCGTCTTTAGAATGATATAAGAGGTGTGCAATGGAGTGATGCTATGGTTTATGAAAATTACAATATTATTTATATTTTGTGTTTTGTGCTGACATGCTATTTGCAACAGAAACTTGTGCTGTTAAAAAAAATAATAAGTTAATGTGGAACACTGCTGAGTGCCAATGCATGATTTTCAACCATTTTCCTGCCATTGAAGCTCTTCAATGCTATTAGTGAATGAAATATTGCTTTGTTTCTCTTTGTTTCCAGAAAGTATCAGAATGCATGAAGCAATCTATGACACTCCTAGGAAGAAGAACACACGATGAGGTGGTGGGTGCCTTGACTTTGATAGCTGATGCTTTGATGATAAGCCCTTGTTCAGAAAAGCTACTCGAAATGAAAGTGGATGCTCTTTTTATGGTGTGTTTTTTAGGAAAGTAATGAATTTTGTTAATTAATTTGATATTTAATCAGTTTAAATGACTTTGAGCATATCATTGATGATTTTATTGGCAGTTGAGGAAATATGAAGAGGTAATTCAGTTATGTGCGCTGACTCGTCCTTCAGCAGAGCTAAACACATATGGATCAGATGCTGACTTAGGAATGTTGGGTGCGTCTAAAAAACCGAAGACTGCTTCATCTAGGCTTTGGTGCTGTTCGATGACTGTCAAAGCCTATTTTTATTTGGGGAAGCTTGAGGAAGCTGCTAATTTTTTGAATAAAGAAGAGAAAAGCATGCCTTTAAAGGAAAGGTAATGATGTACTTTCTTCATGAAGTAGGGCTTTTAGGTTACGGTATTAAGTAATGGCACAGAAACGTAAGGTCCTGTATACTCTCTTTGTATCAAATTAAAGTTTACAATTTCCTTTTTGATATTCCCCAAAATTAAAGTTTACCCTTTCCCATAGGAAATGAACATGTGGCTCACAACAATTCGTTCTCTTCTAAACAAATTTCAATGACATACTCTTTACTTTTCAACACTTTTCTTAAACTCCATGAAGTCAAGCCCTAAACTTTATTATGGGATGGAGGGAGTATATGAAACCACAAGTAACTTTTTTCTTGGAAAAGCTTGTACATAATATTTCTTAATTTTTTACTTAACTTTACTAAAAATTTAACAGTATTCTATCTTTTTTGTAGCAAAATCTTCAACGATACATTTATTATTAGTTTTCTCCAATAGACCGCTCTCCGTTGTTATCATAACTTATTTATTGACAACAAGCTTAAAGTGTAGGTTAAAAACTAAGTACATGAATTTACATAATATCATAGTTGTATATTAAATGAAAAAAACTGTAAAAACCATTCGAACTAATTAAATATATTATTTCAAGCAAATAAGGATTGAACTAAGCATTTTAGGCACTCTAAAAAATGAGGCCCTGTGCGGTCTGGCACCTTGAACTCCCCAAATGCCGGCCCTGTTCATAACATGTTTTACTGATTGTCATTCTGGTGGTGGTTTGACATTTCATATTTTGATAGTGTGGAATTCAGACTTCTTGCTGGATGTTGCAATGTGGAATGCATTATTTATCATGAGGCTTGGATTTTCATGATTCTTTTAATACTTTGCAGTGGAGGAGATTTTACATTAGATTCTAGTATACCTCTGGCTGCAACAATACGTGAGCTTTTGCGCTTCAAGGTGAGTTTTTTAAAAAAAATGGTCTGTCCATACTTTTGTCTAGATTATTTTTCCAGTGCACTTTAGATTCTAGTATACAATCTATAGTATAACTCTGGCTGCAGCAATGCGTGAGCTTTTGCTCTTCAAGGTGAAATTTTTTAAAATAAATAAATGGTCTGTACAATCTTTTGTCTGGATTATTCCAATGCGGTAGTGATGGAAACTCTGAACTTTTGGAGCATGGACCCTGATCTGTATAGAAATAATGAAGTAATGAATAACTGATGTTGATTTTGGTGGATATTTGGCTATGTCCAAGTTGTGACACCCTGGCCTAGGCACTAATTTGGTGTACCACATAGACTAGTATACACGATTGGAAGGCTAAGTTGAAACATGAACTCCTAATTAGTTAACAAGTTAACCTTTAGTTGGAAATGAACTTTTATTTTGACCAACCAGATAAGTTAGTCCTCATCCGGTGGTTGGCTGCAGATTTGTTTTTCCAGTGGCTAATTTTCTTCGATCTGGTCTTCTGTCTGTTCACTTGAGATTGTTTCCGTAATTATGGTAAGCACCTCTCCTGGTCTGCAAGCTGCTTCTAAGATCATTGAGCATCTTTTTAATAAAAACTAAAGGTCTGTAACACGAATTTTGTCTGTTTCAGTGTTTTGTTAAGGAAAATGGAGAGATGATCTTGTCTGTTTGTTTCTATCCAATAAAAGTGTGCTCTCTTTTTTTATATACTTTCTTATTCAGTGCTGAAATAAAACACCCTATGTTTCAAGCTGAGCATGGAAGTGTGTGTGAATGAGCGATAAAGTATACTCAAATTCAAATATTTCAACACGTGTTGCACAATTGAATGACTTGAATCTGTTGGGGTATCTATGAATACTGAATAGCAAACCACAACCAAACAAGAACACACACAAACCAGAAATCAAAACGGAGAAAAACGGAACACAAGATTTATAGTGGTTCGGTCGGCTGACCTAATCCACTTTGAAACTAGGGTTTTTATTATTCAAGTGCTCACAGAATTACAAGTACAGAGATCCTTATTTATGAAGACTAAACTAGGGTTGAAAACTTAATCCCCAAGTTAGGCCCAAGCCCACATAGAGAATTAGGGCCGGCCAAATTCAAAACCTAATTTACTGCCATATGGGTCGAACCAAGACTAGGGCCGGCTGCCCTTCTTTGTCGAGCCTCCACACTCAATTCGCCCAACAATCTCCCACTTGGAGGCTCGAACAATGCCCCTTAGTCTTCATCATCTGTAACTCTTGTAATCCTCATTTTCCACTAGTTGCAGCGGCCTTCTCTTCAGTTATCTGAAGGCCCGTTGAAGCTCCCACTGAGCTTCAACTCATCAGTCACAACCCGTGACTCGTTCTCTTTCTCTGCTAGCTCCGAGTGTGACACATCTATCACTCTCCTGGCTTCTAAGGCAAACTGAGAACCTACAAAATAGTTAACAGGAGAAACTTTCAACGCCGGAATACTAGTTTTCCTAACCCACTGTCGGATTGGGACTGAAGCACGACCTGTGCTCCCACTGTCACAAAATTCCGTGACTGGTTGAACCTTCCAAGCTAGTTCATTCTGAATCTGTA